TTTCTCATTGAGAACGGAATCATAACACACTCGCACGCACATCCTGTTTCTAATATGTGTACACGACCTCCAGAGGGTATAGACTCATTCCTCTCAAAGTCTACTGACGATGCAAAAATTATGAGAAGACTCATGACAGATGAAGATAGACAGAGACTACAGGAGGACCTGGACAAACTGGAGGAATGGTCTAGAAAATGGCTACTAAAGTTTAACTCAAGAAAGTGTAAAGTAATGAAATTGGGCGAAGGGAGCAGAAGGCTGAACACAAGGTACCATTTGGGAGGTGAAATCCTGCAAGAGTCTAATAGATAGAAAGACCTGGGGGTTGATATCACACTGAACCTGTCTCCAGAGGCCCATATCAAAAGGATATCATCAGCGGCATGATAGATTGGCCAACATAAGAACTACCTTTAGAAACTTGTGTAGGGAATCGTTCAGGACCCTGTATACAACTTATGTCCATACCTAGTTAAACACAAGACAACGTTAGAAAAGATTTAGAGGTATGCCACCAGACTCGTACCGGAACTGAGAGGAATGAGCTACGAGGAAAGGCTAAGAGGGGCCAAACCTCTCGTCCCTGAAAGATTGATCAGTAAGGGTAAACATGATCACCACCTGCAAAATTCTCAGGGGAATTGACAAGGTGGACAATAACAAAAAAATTAGCACGGGTGGAACACGAACAAGGGGACACAGGTGGAAACTGAATATCGAAATGAGCCACAGGGACGTTAGAAAGAACTTTTTCAGCGTCAAAGCAGTAAGTAAATGGAATGCATTAGGCAGTGATGTGGTGGAGGCTGACTCCATACACAGTTTCAAATGTAGATATGATAGAGCCCAGTAGGCTCAGGAATCTGTACACCAGTTGATTGACAGTTGAGAGGCGGGACGAAAGAGCCAGAGCTCAACTCCCGCAAGAACAACTAGGTGAGGACTAAGATATCAGACACTGTAGCTGACCCACTAAGATATCAGACACTGTAGCTGACCCACTAAGATCAGTGGGTCAGCATAAAGAGCAACTCGTCCTCCTAATAGAACGTCGCATTTTGACGTATACTCCACCTAAGGCCAAAAATCGTCGTACTAGAAAATGGTAGCGGCTCGCGAAATCGACATACTGTCCCGTTTTCTGTTTTAGGACCTCTGGTATATTAGGATAAGGGCATTTTAGTACGACAGTTTCTTGATGATGGGGAACCTTACTAGGCCAGACTGCGGGAATCCCGGGCGGGATAAATGGTTGGGCACGTTTCCCATTACTTAATGCCTCTTTTTTTCCACCAAGCAGTAAATATATGTTTTCGGGATTTAGTCAGCTTGGTGCGGGGTAGCACCCTGGGGAGGGTTAGTAATACAACCTTGGAAGGGGCCTCGATATAAGCCTAACGTGCATATATACTCAGGCTGCCTCTCCCCGATAAAATAAATTATTAAATTGACTTTTATTGATCACCTTTAAGAGATAAAAGTTACTCCATAAAAATCTGAGGATACAGTTTTCTTTTACTACTAATAATTTGTAATAGAAAGCGACAAAATTAATAGGGCATTCTAAAGTAATCTATTTATTTAGTTTAGGCATCCTCAATTCACATTACCCAGTAAAGGAAGTCTTGTCAGACTTAACGGCTCACCAATCGTTTGTGTAAAAACTGCACTAAACACTTCACATATGTTGGCATTAGCTAGTTGAGAACCCTGTAGTTCACTTCCCGTAAAACATGGGTCCTCCAATAAGAACAGCAGATTAGCAGTTAATACTGAAGTGACTTCAGACTCCCACTTCAACACATCGGAGATGAGAGAACGAGCTGCCTCGTGTCTTAACTCATGCACCTCATTTTGCATGCTATGATCCACAAAATAACGGGTACTATGGAAAGTAGCGGCTCGTCTGAAAGCAATAGTCCACCGAGAACTTCAACAAAATCTTGAAGATCTGAGGCAAAGTGAAATCGACACCAGTAATTCCATCTATCATCATACTATCATGCAAGAGGAGCCACACATCTATGGATCATCCAATAAAGTCAGCAGACTTCTAGATGTTACTACTGCTCGGCTTAGACTCGGTTACAAGTATGTTTGGGAATTCTCATTATCTGTTGATGTAGACCTGACCAAATGTAACCTGTGTCAACAAAATTATTCGCACACCACACGTCAGGACAAACGTATCAATTGTGACACTAGCTCTCTCAGTTGTGAGAGCTAGTGTCACAATTGATATGTTTGTCCTGCGCACCGCCCCCCCCCCCATCCAGTGGGTAGCGGTGGCTAGGTTCCAGAGATGTGTAAATACTTCATGCACAATGATCTGTTTCCAAAAATCTTAACCAAATATCCCCAGTTTGCTAACTGTAGGTAGTAACTAAGTGACTGTAACCTATCCACCGCTGCCCACTGGATGGGGGGCGGTGTGCAGGACAAACATGCGGTGTGCAGGACAAACCTCTGCCCGAAACGCTACGCGTACTAGTGGCTGTACAAGAATGTAACAACTCTTGTATATATCTTAAAAAAAAAAAAAAAAACATATCAATTTTGACACTAGCTCTCCACATATGTCAGTTGCTTAATTTAGAAACTGTACTTGTGGTCGATCTCGAGCCCATTGTTGATGTGACAATGGGCATTAAATTTTGTAACTAGCTCATCAAGATTGTAACTTGCTTAGCTAAATGAATTGTGGGGTTCAGTCCCTGAGCCCATTATGTACCTCTGTAACCCTTTCCACTACCGCCCAGAAGATGGGTATGGGGTGCATAATAAATGAACTAAACTAACTCACATATATCCACGTTTTCTGTGCGACGGTTGGGTTAGGTGGGTGAGTGGCTGTGGTCCACATGTTTTAGTATGGTGCAGTAAATCAAGAAAACGGGTCGCACGACCAACATGTAAACACAGAGTCTTGCTTTCTTTCGTTCCCTTTGTTTGTTTGTTCAGATATAGAATGTACATCATCTTATAGATTGGTCTTTGAAAATAATCTTTCCTGCCTCTACTCTTCACTTACGCCGTCTTGTTGAATCGGCTCCGATGCCCAACATGTCCCTTAGTCCTGGCTAAGGCCTAACAAACGTGATCTGACTTGGCTTTAGCCCCTCTAGGCTCTTGTTCCTTTTTTTTTTTATTTCACCTCGTTCTCTTTGCTATTAAGCCTTCTGCAATTTTCTTGATATCCATTAAAATTCTATGGTTATCTTGAGATGATTTCGGGGCTTTTTTAGTGTCCCCGCGGCCCGGTCCTCGACCAGGCCTCCACCCCCAGGTAGCAGCCCGTGACAGCTGACTAACACCCAGGTACCTATTTTACTGCTAGGTAACAGGGGCATAGGGTGAAAGAAACTCTGCCCATTGTTTCTCGCCGGCTCCTGGGATCGAACCCAGGACCACAGGATCACAAGTCCCGCGTGCTGTCCGTTCGGTCCCGGTCGGCCGTCGGCCGGTCTTCTGGTATAATTCCTTACCTTTTCGCCTTTCACCTCATATTCTTAGCGTATATATTGACTTTCTCTGCAATTCTTTCTCCCCAGAGAGTCTGAAACCTTCCCACAAAACATCAATTGCTACTGCGACCCCTAGAGTCGCACAGAGGACAATGCGACCCAATCGTGTAGAAATTATGGCTACCCTCCTAAACGGTCATGCTTTTGGAAAGAGCGACATTTTGAAATTCCTCAAGGACGGGGCGGCATCACACTCTTCTTTACAAGTCCGGAGGACCTAGAACAATTTCTGGGCTACGATATCCCACTTTCCAAGCAGCACCACCTCTGTCTCAACTACTCACGTCAGTTCCTAGCCAAAAGATCAGTTGTTATCGTCAGGACCAGCCCATGATAACTGACCGCACAGAAAGTGAGATCAGTACGAATATCGAGTCCGAAAACCTAATCATGGATTTTCGGACTCGAAAACCCATGTTGCCATTGTGTTCTGTAGTGAGGATAAAGCAACAACGAAGATAATTTTCACCTCAGCAGCTATGGCCACTCAGGCTGCCACTCAAGACTTCTACTGCTTCAGTATCAAGATACCGCCCCACCATATGAAAAAGGAACGATATCACGAGCTCCGACAGTGCTTCAAGTGCTTTGAGCTCTCCCACACCATCAACAAGTGTCAGCACCTCGTCCAGAAGTGCAGCCTCTGCGCTCTGGACCATCATTACTCCATCTGTAAATCAACAACCCATCGCTGCCTGCTTGGTAACGGCAATCATCCTGCAATTTCACAGCGCTGCCCCCGCGAACAGGAAAAAATCATGGCTCAGGTTGGAGCCAAGAAAGCCAGCCCTATTAACCCTGCCAACAGAGCCCCAGATGCTATACACAACACATCAGCTCCCAACAACCAATCAGAAGACTTCCCAGTCTTACCAAATAGTGGTTCCTCGCACCAGTCGACCCACTCTTAACCTTTACAATGGGGACCCAAGGCCCAACCAGCACCCTCGCCGCCCCTTGCATCATGTGCCGGCATTATCCCTGGTCTTATGCGACTAGCAGAGAGGCTTGCTGGACCAGACAACCTCCGATTCGTTAGGGGAACTGAATGTGCTGTACCTAGCTAATGGCCGGGCCCAGTCACAGCCCCTGATGCAAGCTTTACTACCTCCCCTACCACACAGGGGACTTCCACAAGTCGACCACCAGGTCCATCTTGACTCAGACTTCAGCTGTGCCAAAGTCCCAGGCTGCACAAACAGCAGCATCCTCCAATCCAGCCGCAAAAGCTACCACCATCACCGTCTCAGCAGAGGCGCTCGCAGACGTGCTCTCTCCGACCACCAACACCACCACCGACGTGACCGAACCAGCTTCTACCACAACTCATCAACTCCAGAGCCAAGCTCAACCTCAGGCTGAGACCATAACCCCCAAAACAGACTACGACACGCCACGGACTCCTCAGTTGAGGAAATCTCAGTAAGAGCTCCATCGCCGCGACACTTGCCCTACTCCGTACAAGATGTCCTCATGGCGGCCACCTCACCCAACTCCAATGACAACTCAGTCGTGACAACTCTCAGCAAGACTCAGATTAAGATAAAACGTAAGACCTAGAGGCCTTCATTAACTCACCAGCTCTATGGTTGGTACAGCTCGCCCTCCGAGACAGCCCTCCCCCTCCCCACCCAAAAAAAAATAATCCATCCGCAGATCTCCAGTGTCAGCTTTTGCTACTGGTAATGGCTCCAAATAGCTACCAATTACGGGCTATTCATGCCCGTGCCACCTCTTGGGTGGCTTGATCTTCATATCAATTCTGTCATTATTTACACGACTTAATAATGGTTCAAGACGAACCGAAACGTCGTCACTGCCTTTATTTCCAGCTGTGTGGGTTGAGTGCCTCACTCTCCGCCCAGTTACTGTCACTTACTGTGTGCAGACAATATACGTACCATGAATCACATGACTGGTGACTTGAATTTCCACCAACCATTGTCTGCTGAGTAAGTGAGAGAGTAAACTTTACATTTACGCTCATATGAGCCTCGAACTCTTTTCTTTAGGGTTTCCGGGGAATTCTTTCCTGCAACAGTGATGGTCTGCAGAACAACAACTGGCTCTTAGGGCGATACAGCGACTCTTACTCTTACTCTTAGATCCACACGAAGGTTCACCGGACAGGAAACTTCTTACTTAGGAAATCCTATACTGCGATAACCTCTGGCCCTGACCTGCAACACAGCCCTGACCTGCAACACAGCCCTGACCTGCAACACAGCCCTGACCTGCAACACAGCCCTGACCTGCAACACAGCCCTGACCTGCAACACAGCCCTGACCTGCAACACAGCCCTGACCTGCAACACAGCCCTGACCTGCAACACAGCCCTGACCTGCAACACAGCCCTGACCTGCAACACAGCCCTGACCTGCAACGCAGCCCTGACCTGCAACGCAGCCCTGACCTGCAACACAGCCCTGACCTGCAACACAGCCCTGATCTGCAACACAGCCCTGACCTGCAACACAGCCCTGACCTGCAACACAGCCCTGACCTGCAACGCAGCCCTGACCTGCAACGCAGCCCTGACCTGCAACACAGCCCTGACCTGCAACGCAGCCCTGACCTGCAACGCAGCCCTGACCTGCAACACAGCCCTGACCTGCAACGCAGCCCTGACCTGCAACGCAGCCCTGACCTGCAACACAGCCCTGACCTGCAACGCAGCCCTGACCTGCAACGCAGCCCTGACCTGCAACACAGCCCTGACCTGCAACACAGCCCTGACCTGCAACACAGCCCTGACCTGCAACACAGCCCTGACCTGCAACACAGCCCTGACCTGCAACACAGCCCTGACCTGCAACACAGCCCTGACCTGCAACACAGCCCTGACCTGCAACACAGCCCTGACCTGCAACACAGCCCTGACCTGCAACACAGCCCTGACCTGCAACACAGCCCTGACCTGCAACGCAGCCCTGACCTGCAACACAGCCCTGACCTGCAACGCAGCCCTGACCTGCAACACAGCCCTGACCTGCAACACAGCCCTGACCTGCAACACAGCCCTGACCTGCAACACAGCCCTGACCTGCAACACAGCCCTGACCTGCAACACAGCCCTGACCTGCAACACAGCCCTGACCTGCAACGCAGCCCTGACCTGCAACACAGCCCTGACCTGCAACACAGCCCTGACCTGCAACACAGCCCTGACCTGCAACGCAGCCCTGACCTGCAACACAGCCCTGACCTGCAACACAGCCCTGACCTGCAACGCAGCCCTGACCTGCAACACAGCCCTGACCTCCAGCCTAATAACGTGGTCGTCACGTGGCCGTCACGTCACGTCAGTTCGAAGGAATAGTTCAGAATGAATGGATTGTATATATAACGGGGCGCACGTCAGCTAACCCGGGTCTCCCCTTCAATTGTGATTACCTGCCCGTGAACCATTCACATCTGGGGGTGTAGAATCAGTGGATTCTAGCATGGTTGGAACAGCAGGTGTATTCGTAGGCCAGACTGATAAGTAGCTGTTAGGTTGGTTCATTTATAGGTACACTCCCATACTCATGCTGTGGGTGGGTGGGTGGGTGGTAGTGCACCCCCCATACTTCACATCCTATAGGCGATAGTGGACCCATTACTCATCCTGTGGGCGATAGTGGACCCAATACTCATCCTGTGGGCGATAGTGAACCTAATATTCATCCTGTGGGCAATAGAGGACCCACTACTCATCCTGTGGGCGATAGTGGACCCAATACTCATCCTGTGGGCGATAGTGAATTCAATACTCATCCTGTGGGCGATAGTGGACCCAATACTCATCCTGTGGGCGATAGTGAACCCAATACTCATCCTGTGGGCGATAGTGAACCCATTACTCATCCTGTGGGCGATAGTGGACCCAATACTCATCCTGTGGGCGATAGTGGACCCAATACTCATCCTGTGGGCGATAGTGGACCCAATACTCATCCTGTGGGCGATAGTGGACCCAATACTCATCCTGTGGGCGATAGTGGACCCAATACTCATCCTGTGGGCGATAGTGGACCCAATACTCATCCTGTGGGCGATAGTGGACCCAATACTCATCCTGTGGGCGATAGTGAACCCAATACTCATCCTATGGGCAATAGTGGACCCACTACTCATCCTGTGGGCGATAGTGGACCCAATACTCATCGTGTGGGCGATAGTGAACCCAATACTCATCCTGTGGGCGATAGTGAACCCATTACTCATCCTGTGGGCGATAGTGGACCCAATACTCATCCTGTGGGCAATAGTGGACCCATTACTCATCCTGTGGGCGATAGTGGACCCAATACTTATCCTGTGGGCGATAGTGGACCCAATACTCATCCTGTGGGCGATAGTGGACATAATACTCATCCTGTGGGCGATAGTGTACCCTATGCTCATCCTGTGGGCGATAGTGGACCCAATACTCATCCTGTGGGCGATAGTGGACCCACTACTCATCCTGTGGACGATAGTGGACCCAATACTCATCCTGTGGGCGATAGTGGACCCAATACTCATCCTGTGGGCGATAGTGGACCCAATACTCACCCTGTGGGCGATAGTGGACCCAATACTCATCCTGTGGGCGATAGTGAATCCAATACTCATCCTGTAGGCGATAGTGGACCCAATACTCATCCTGTGGGCGATAGTGGACCCAATACTCATCCTGTGGGCGATAGTGGACCCACTACTCATCCTGTGGGCGATAGTGGACCCAATACTCATCCTGTGGGCGATAGTGGACCCAATACTCATCCTGTAGGCGATAGTGGACCCACTACTCATCCTGTGGGCGATAGTGGACCCATTACTCATCCTGTGGATGGTAATTAACCTCCATACCCACCATGTGGGTGGTGGTAGACCCATACTCATCCTGTGAGTGGTGTTGGGAAAGGTTATAGACGCATATAATGAGCTCAGAAACTGAAGCCCCAAATTAATTTAGCTAAGTAAGTTACGGTCTTGATAAGCCAATATAAGACCAGCCGGTGGTCAGATTATCTATTATATTTCCTCAAACAAGTTTTTGTTTCAGAACTGAAAAGAATAAAGGACATAAATTCAGGTTTTATTTGCTTTAACTGTAATCCTTACTTCTGAACAGGAATTGCAGACAACAGATACAGTGGAGGAATTGTAACCACGTGACCCTCAACTCGTAATAATGACGTGTTGACGTATTGTGGGATGTAAACACGTCCCATCGTCACCCAGTGAAGTGATCAGTGCTTCAGATATTCTTGGATTCCTTCGTCAAGTCAGAGAACTGCTTCTATATTGGGTATAAAAGAGAGCGAGGAATAGATGCCTATTATGAAACCTCTCAATTTCATATTAATATGTTCACTGTCAGACTCCAAAAAACTGCACATGTTCAATATAGCCTCTGTTCGATTCAGTAAACTACATTTGAAAAATAGTTTTGCTCCTCAAACTGTAAAACTGACGAGCACAAGACGCACTCGGACACTTCTGCATTTTTATTTTCGTGTCAGACGCACCAGCTACAGAAATTTTCAGCCCCGTATATTTTCTAACTAGTTCCAATACGTATCCCCAGGGGCCTGAGCGGCTAGAGGTAGCTAGCAGAGGGAAAACAATAGAAGTGGTTTAATATGAAGAAAAACCTTACTAAACAGTCTCATATTATACCCCTAAGTAACCAAAGAAAGTCGAATACAATGCAAAATAAATTCCGCGTGTAATTTGAAGCCAGAACAGAATAGCCATGCGATCGTTGAGTCGTTTCAAACGAAGGTTAAAAACATCACACTATTCACTAACCCGCTCACATCCCGCCACAGACATGCTTAGTAAACCTCACAACCTTATTTTTCCCGTAGCTCCGAACGTTGTTACAAGGAAATACCGGTGTAAAACGGGTTTCATTGTACGGTGTACGGGTTTCATTGTGTGTTTACCAACATGACGGAGAGAGGCGGAACTTGACAAGTCACTGAGAATCAGACCAACGAGGAGGACTTAAGAGCCGTCACTACTTTAAGATCCTCACATACACTCCAGCGGAGAATGTCGTGAGTTTTCAACTGAAGTGACCAGAATGAGATCTGAAAGTTACAAAACTTTCTAAATGAAAGTTATAAATGAAAGTTTATAAAACTGCAATAAAACAAGCTCAGAGTTCATATGGAGGATGTTTACTGTTAACAGGATTGTTACAAATACAATCATGCTGTGGTATTGTTGCACAATCAAACTTGTTAATATTGTACAGTCAGGATGAGGTATTATTATACAGACATGACATGGTAACATTGTACAATCACGACCGGGTATTACTATACAATCATGAACTGGTGTTATGGTACAATCCAGACCTGGTATTATGGTACAATCCAGACCTGGTATTATGGTACAATCACGATCTGATATTATCTAAAAATTACGACATGATGTTATTGTACAATCTAGACCTGGTATTATGGTACAATCCAGACCTGGTATTATTGTACAATCCAGACCTGGTATTATGGTACAATCCAGACCTGGTATTATGGTACAATCCTGACCTGGTATTATGGTACAATCCAGACCTGGTATTATGGCACAATTCAGACCTGGTATTATGGTACAATCCAGTCCTGGTATTATGGTACAATCCTGACCTGGTATTATGGTACAATCCTGACCTGGTATTATGGTACAATCCTGACCTGGTATTATGGTACAATCCAGACCTGGTATTATGGTATAATCCAGACCTGGTATTATGGTACAATCCAGACCTGGTATTATGGTACAATCCAGACCTGGTATTATGGTACAATCCTGACCTGGTATTATGGTACAATCCTGACCTGGTATTATGGTACAATCCTGACCTGGTATTATGGTACAATCCTGACCTGGTATTATGGTACAATCCTGACCTGGTATTATGGTACAATCCAGACCTGGTATTATGGTACACTCCAGACCAGGTATTATGGTACAATCCTGACCTGGTATTATGGTACAATCCTGACCTGGTATTATGGTACAATCCTGACCTGGTATTATGGTACACTCCAGACCAGGTATTATGGTACAATCCAATCCTGGTATTATGGTACAATCCTGACCTGGTATTATGGTACAATCCAGACCTGGTATTATGGTGCAATCCTGACCTGGTATTATGGTACAATCTAGACCTGGTATTATGGTACAATCCAGTCCTGGTATTATGGTACAATCCTGACCTGGTATTATGGTACAATCCTGACCTGGTATTATGGTACAATCCTGACCTGGTATTATGGTACAATCCTGACCTGGTATTATGGTACAATCCAGACCTGGTATTATGGTACAATCCAGACCTGGTATTATGGTACACTCCAGACCAGGTATTATGGTACAATCCAATCCTGGTATTATGGTACAATCCTGACCTGGTATTATGGTACAATCCAGACCTGGTATTATGGTACAATCCTGACCTGGTATTATGGTACAATCTAGACCTGGTATTATGGTACAATCCAGTCCTGGTATTATGGTACAATCCTGACCTGGTATTATGGTACAATCGTGACCTGGTATTATGGTACAATCCAGTCCTGGTATTATGGTACACTCCAGACCAGGTATTATTGTACAATCCAGACCTGGTATTATGGTACAATCCAGACCTGGTATTATGGTACAATCCTGACCTGGTATTATGGTACAATCCAGTCCTGGTATCGCTGCTCTCAGGTCTCACGATTTCATTCACATTAAAAACAGTTATAAAACGTAGTGTATATATTTAATTAGCGCGCTTTACAAAATGTAAGTTCATTATAAATTTATGTGAATAACATTATTAATAATAGTGATCATTATAATTGCTCATTATATATCAAAACTAATCATCTACCAGCACTTTATCAAACAGGAGAACTGTAATTTGTTGATTAATTCCTAAAGTGATTTGTTTGCAAAACTGTCAGAGTAACTCAGGGGGTGGTCGTCCCTCACAGTAACTCACGGGGTGGTCGTCCCTCACAGTAACTCACGGGGTGGTCGTCCCTCACAGTAACTCAGGGGGTGGTCGTCCCTCACAGTAACTCAGGGGGTGGTCGTCCCTCACAGTAACTCACGGGGTGGTCGTCCCTCACAGTAACTCACGGGGTGGTCGTCCCTCACAGTAACTCACGGGGTGGTCGTCCCTCACAGTAACTCACGGGGTGGTCGTCCCTCACAGTAACTCAGGGGGTGGTCGTCCCTCACAGTAACTCACGGGGTGGTCGTCCCTCACAGTAACTCAGGGGGTGGTCGTCCCTCACAGTAACTCAGGGGGTGGTCGTCCCTCACAGTAACTCACGGGGTGGTCGTCCC